AAATATATTTATATATATAGAGTAATATAAATATGTGTAAAAAGAAACTTAAAATAATATCAGCTTTCCTTTTCACACGTGCCTTATATCCTTGGGATGCAACTGGACCACAGAAGTGACAGCTTGCAGATGCATCAATATGTACATCAATAGCACACTCTGACAGGCCTTCCACCTCCATCAAGCTGTGGCAGTTTGGCCAGTAGGACCACAGAAAAAAATTGTTAAACATGGCAAGATCCAAGACTCGGGAACTCACATTTATCTTAGAATTGTCAAATTTCAGTTTGACAGTTATTGCCTCACTGAATCACAATGAGAGGACAGGACTTCTGCAGAATCACCCACAGCAACTGTTCTCGTACCATGACTACAGCACGGCGGACCGGCAGCGTACTTTGGCTGCTTTCCTTGAGAATTCAGTTTTTCAAACACAACGTTTCTACACAAATGTGAGAAATGTAAAAGCAGCAGGCAGGTAAAATCAGTTTTCTTCAGAAACAAAGCAATGGCTCTAATAACTGTAAGTTTGAACAAAACATACTAGCCATTTGGGATAAATAATAACTAATGCAAGCCTCGGTTTAAAAAAAATAGCAATTGTAATTTTATACTGTAAGGTTAAAACCATCTCCTCTAATTGCACAGCAACACCTGCATCACACTGCCTCAGGCAGCTGCAGCAAGTGAATAGACTCAGACCCATAAAACACTAGGCAATCTTTCCACAGGCAGCAAAGGGTGGTCAATTCTGATCACCAAGCAAAGTATTCAAACAAGGAGCTGGCAGCCTGTCACATTTAATCTAAGGAAGATGTTTCAAGATTTATCTCGAGGAGCAAAGTTGCCTCAACCTCCCAGCTACAGCAATCTGTTTCCATTTATGTGTTATTAAACCACAAACACGTTGAAATGCTGGGTCTACCTAAACTCCAGCAAAAAAGGTAATTAATTAGGTGGCTGCTGCAGTCCAGGAGAGCAATTTTTACTCACTGAGGTCCGACGCATTCCACAGCAGCCAGTTTCTAGGGGTTTGCACAGATTTTCTCCTGAGTCCAGCCTCCAAAACTAAAATACGAGTTTTGGCATGGTTGTTTGCAAGGGAGCTGTTTACAGGCACTCTCCGAAGTCGTGACTTTTGTATCCATCAAAATAGTGTCAGTTCTTCTGCTGACCATGCTTTAGTTAAAATAGAAATATTGTAACTAATTGTTTTTCCTCTTCTGCCTGTTGCACGTAAGATGTAACTGAGGGGAAATGGCCAGTTTTGTATGCTTAAAAGCCGCCAGCGGTATGAAACAGGCTGAAGAAAGCATCTTGCTTTGTTCTTTTGCTAGCAATCTCTTCTGTGTCAGTTGTTACCATGCTACTGTAACCTGGGATTTTGAAACTGGGTCTCTCTGCTCCCAGGACACCTTGTTCCCTCCAACTTGCCCTCTCCAACATAAAAAAGCTGAGAAAAACAGCTCTCTGGCTGCTGGGGGAAGCACTCCACTGCGTGAAAACATTACTCATACAACTGAGTAAGCACAGAATTCTACATTCAACTCTTTGATTAAAAATAATAATAAAAATTCGTGTCCACCTCTCTTGCTGCAGAACTGAAAATTTTCTGGAGGATGCCTACTGGGAGTAAATTGCCCCAATGCGGACCAATCCAAAGCAGCTGAATAGATCAATTGGTATCAAATGCAATTAGAAGGCACCATAAGTGAGTGGACTATTGAACACCAGTGGGCAAGCCTGGTTATAGAAATAGGGCCAGCAGCTCTAGGACAAGTAGATCATGCAGCGGCAGCGCATATTGCAGATGAGAAAGTGCTTCCCCCTCTCCCCGCAATTTAAGGTCATTCCCTTCCTGGCAAGCTAGCTAGAGTAAAGCTAATACAAACAGCAAAGCCTTTAGAAAAAATGCAGTTTAATATGTAGTGGTAAGGTGACAAAAGAAACAAACCATTAACTCTGAGTGTTACAGAAAGAAATGTACATTATTACTAGTTTTTAAACATCTGAATGGAAAATGCAAGCAAATTCTTAAGGAAGGTATCCTCTTATTAAAAGACTCATACTAATATTATTCTTTACGCTTAGAAAAATCAGATTACCACAAATGACTGGGCAACTCCAATGTTAAAGCTGCAAAACACAGGCTAAAAGAGCAATAAATCCATGCTGTGATCTCTAACCCCAATATAATTGGGAGAAGTCAGATCTTCAAGTCGTTCCACTACAGCTTTGAATCCAACTGAAGATCTTTTCCTGACCCACAGTCAGGTAAACAATTCACAGAATTAGCAGATGACTAACAACACTTTCAGAAAAAAAGTCGTTTTCCAAAACCAACTCACCAGTACTTATGCCATCTGGTGGCCTGTTTCTTCAGGCAAGTACAATGATTAGTTATTAAAAGCCTTTCATTAAGGCTGCTCCTTTAACATACAGTGGTCAGTATTATGCCATTATTTTAAACGAAAGGTTAGAATATGCAATGCAGAACACTACTGCTGACGAGGAGTATCACAGAAGGGAAATTCATCCTCTTCTCCAGATACTAACCATCAACATGAGACACTCGAACTAAAAAGGGACATGACAAAAAAACACATTTTCCCTTTCTTCAAAAAGGATTTGTATCACCTTCAATTAAACCTGTAACTAGCGTGTAGAGCAAAGTAACTGTTTACATCAAAAAATGGATCCGTTAGAGTAACATGGCTCTCCTCATTCTCAATTACCTGGGTCTGAAAGACTAACAAAGCTTTGCATCTTCATGCAGCCTCAGTTCTTCCATATGTTTTATTAGAAAAACAGAACTATAGCTTCAATTTGGATTCTTTTGCTTGCAAAGCCTTGGTTGCTAGTTCAACTCTTTCTTTTAATAAGCTAGCTTCTTCAGCACTTTTTTGGGCTTGTACATTTTTCAGTAAGAAGTGGGTAAGGAAGAGTTTCAAGCCTTCTCGTAGCATTCCCAGTTTGGGGTTGTCAGATACCCTGTAAAGATACAGATCAGAAATAGCCTTTAGTCTTCTACTGTTTCAGAACTTCCTTAATTTTTTTCTTTATCTTCTTCAAATATAGACATAGAAAAAAATCCAACCTATAAAAGCAGCTTTTCTGAAGAGGCTTTCAAATTACCAGCAAGCCTACAGTGGTTTGGCAAACAGCCCAAATACACTCAACATACAATTGATCCTCAACAATAAAACGGAATATTGGAGCCTTAGACTTGCTTTATGTAAACAATTACGTTGCAGCAAAAAACGAGGCAAACACCATGTTTGAGCTTCCTTGTGTTGCAGCGTAATGGTTGAAACATCATCACCTAATTTTTTTTAACTTTAGGCGACATTGCAAGTTTAATACAACTAAATCATGGAATCACAGAATAATTTGAGTCAGAAAGGATGTCAGCAGGTCATCTGGTCTGACCTCCTGTTTAAAGCCAGACTAACATGCAGCTGTGGTCAGGTCTTATCCACTCAAGTCCTAAGCATCTCCAAGGAGGCAAATTTCCCGGCCTCTCCAGGCAACTCCGTCTCATATACAAAAATAAGATTTTCCAGACAATGTTGATTTGGGGAGAAAAAAAAAAAATCCCCCAAACCTTTCCATCATTAGTATTTCTTTATTTTTACTTCTTACACTAAAGATAGCTTTTAGCAAAGACTGCTGCTAGAGTGAATCCCACTGCACACAGATGGTAAAGCAATAAGGACAACAGGTAATTACAGAGCTCTGCTCATGAAAATCCTATGACCAAAATGATACACCAAGTATCTCAAAGCCTTATTTGTACATCATTTCTCACAGCTGTATCTATATCAGAGCCTGAACTAACACACAAATGATACGCTTCCCTCCCCTCACCCAGGAGAGGTTCCTTTCTAAGGGATGGCTGGCTGATCTTTGGAAAATGCACTGTATAATTCCAAACAAAATAAGCAAACTTCTTATCTTAATTACTACTCATCAAAGGTTCCCTGGAGAGCTCTCTGATCACTTACCTCACAAAAATGTCACTAAGTTCTTCAGCATCTGTTTTGATTAACAGCATGCTTAATACTTGTCTTAAGAAACGGACTTTGGGTTTATCTAGTTCACTGAATTCAATTACCTAGTAGAGAGAGAGGGAGAATTAGATTAATTCAAGTATTTCAAACAGCTGAATTCTCTTCTAAATGAACAGTTTTTAGCACACCAACTGGCTTCCCATATACACAAAGTCTTAGGTTTGGCACAGAAGAATTAGCTGAGAACGCTGTCTCCCAAAGCGAATCAATAAGGAAAGTGGAGAACTTTCTAAGGAATAACCTGTCTACTAGTACTAGAATACTGAATATAATTTCTCCATTAGATAAATACTTCAGAAGTACGTGGGACAATCCATATAATTGCCTGTTTAACACATTTCAATTATTCTTCTAATAAAATTCTATGGACTCCCCACTCTAGAATCCAAATGCCCAGTAGATTTCTTTCTGGTCTAATAAAAATCAACATCAGCTAAAAAGCATAGCACAAAATCCACTGACAAAGCCTGTAAACGAAGGAGCCTCAGTTCCAACTCTGGATACCCTAAAGAAAATAATCTTACAACTGCTCTAGATACAGAACTGTAGACCTTCTGTATGCCTGGGTAACCACAGATTCCCTTTTCCCCAAATAATACCAATACCGTAATCAATTGGATTAATTCGGTAATTTTAGAACAAGTTTTGTCTCAGCTATGAGCATGAACAGCTGAAGTACCAGCTAGGTAACAGAGAAAATACATTTTCCATAGAACCAGCAAATGCAAGGAAAACACATAAGTATTTTGAAAAGGAAACACACCAACCTTGAGAACTGAAAGTGGCAATGATTTTGACCTTAGTAAGTGAGCCAACAGTGAAACCAAGTTGGAGATGGCACCAGCTGACAGGTTTTCCAAGTCTCTGATTTTGTCCCAAATACTAAACTGGAATGTCACCTAGGTGACAAAGGAAAAAAAAAAATTTCTTACAAATCAAGTGACTGTTTAAATTAGTAACAACACAACAAAATCTTTTGAACTTCTATTCTTTATAAGTCCTCATTAACAGAGATGCTTGATCAGACTGTTCAATTCTTTTAAAATGCACACAACAGAGGAAAGCAAGCCTTCTGCAGTAGTTATTTCCTATTCAGATCTGACCATGAGTACACATAGCTATACCAGCAGAATTTTTCCTCAGGATCGAGATCTTAACAGGCATGCATCCATTCTCAGGTATTTAATAACTGCTTTCCTAACCACAATAATGACACTAAACCAAAGCAGAAACAGATGTTTTCTTCACCTGAAATTGTCTTTCATATTCACAAAACTTGTTAGCCAAAAATGCATAGAAGGGGTTATATGTCTTCTCCTGTAAGCAGCAGTAAAGGATAACATGAACAATTTCTCTCTCCTGCTGATCTTTCAGTCCAAGCCTAAAATTTAGCAAGAGAATTAGAATCGTTTAGTAAGGAAAAAATTACTGCCACAAAGAGCGAGCTATAGTCAACATCTGAGAGCAATACTTAAACCCCCCACCCAACCACCACATTAACTTTTACTTGTTAGAAAGTTCTTACAAAGCCTTTAAAACACTGAATGGACTCAAACCCTTAAAGACTGTGGGCTAACTCAGTGGTTAAACCACAACACCTGGTATGGCAATATGGGCATGCTCAGCGTTACTGGTGTTAAAGGAGTGGCTGCAAAACCAACATCTAAACAGAAGTGGAATAATACAAGTGTAATTAGCCCCTGAGGAAGGAAAGGTAGCCCACAACATGTTTGTAGCTCTCCATGAAGAAAGAGAGGGCACTGTCATCATTGAGTCCTGTGCCTTTGAACGTAGCAGTAGCGCTGCAGCAAGTGCTGCTGCATGGTGTACCAAGACAAAGGTTAAATAGTGAAACAAGAACTGCAGGACCCTGTTGCAGTTATCTCATGCTTGTACCTACGGTCATGGGACGAAAACCAGCCTTTGGATCAGTATGAGCCTATTTAGAGAACCATGTCCAGGGCCCTTCACTTCTGTAGTACTTACTAGGCATAAGAAAATATTTTAAGATGTTTTTTCTAGTTAGTTGGTGATATCAATCTTTTAATCTCCAGATCAACTCCATGCAACACAATACTTGTAATTCATTATTGTTTGATAGTAGCCTAAGAGGACGCAGTCAGTGACCTCAAGGCACTTTAAAAAAATTTAAAAAGCCTGAAGAAAAGTTAGTATCAATGACTACTTATGTTGGCTGCCTCAGCACAAAGGCCAAGGACTGAACAGCCTTCCCACTGGAACAGCTGACCAGTCTAAAAGAGGGCTGAGAGACACTTTGGCAGGGAATGGTAACTAACTCGCAATGCACCTGTTCTGTGAATAATATGATTTAGCTTCCAGGGCTGCCAAATGCTTGGTGGCATTAAAACCAATTAAAATGAAAAATGTTTCGTATTATAATCTGAAAAATGTCAAACAAAATTCTTGTCATTGCTTCAAGCTCAAGTTTCATATGGTATTGGCGTAACTCAAGTGTATTTTCTAACAAAGTTTGACTCCACTGAACTTGCTCTACCATCTGTAGAGTAGTTTGTCATTACTTGATTCTAGTATCTCTCATTTGTATACACCTACAGACATCTGCCATTGCATTTGATCACAAACACACACCAGATTAACAGAGAAAATATTGTCTTTCAGCCAAAAACCCCAGAATTTAAAGTTTTACAGCAGGAAAATCTGGGACGACTTCTAGGCTGACTGCTAATGAGTGGTGAAAACTTTGAAGTCTGCTTCTCCAAAAGAGACCAGCACTGTTAAGTGCTGTGTCTGTGATATAATTTGCTTGCTCTCCCATCAGCCAAGTTCCATCTGATTTTATTACAGAGCAACAAAAGTTTATTTAAAAAACACACAAGCTTTTCAGCCATGGGACATGCATTTAATAGATGACTCATGAAGTTCCATTGCAGTCACTAATTTGGCATACTTTCCTTTTCCTTGTTCATCACCACTTCTATCATGACTTGCTTATTTAGGAAGTATTCATGTTGCCAGACACTTGTAACCAACTAAATCAGCACTCTGATGTTAACTAGAATCATAGAATCATTATGGTTGGAAGAGACCTCAAAGATCATCAAGTCCAACTGTATACCTGATGCCACCATGCCCACTAAACCGCTACATCTAAACGTTTTTTGAACACTTCCAGGGATGGTGACTCCACCACCTCCCTGGGGAGCCCATTCCAATGCTTAACGACTCTAACAGTAAAGTTGTTCTTTCTAAGGTCCAGCCTGAACCCCCCCTGGCGCAACTTGAGACCGTTTCCTCTTGTCCTATCGCTAGTTACAGGGGAGAAGAGACCAACCCCTGCCTCGCTACAACCTCCTTTCAGGTAGTTGTAGAGGGCGATCAGGTCTCCCCTCAGCCTCCTTTTCTCCAGACTAAACAACCTCAGCTCCCTCAGCCGCTCCTCATAAGACTTTTTCTCCAGGCCCTTTACCAGCTTTGTCACTCTTAGTTTTTCTTCTTACTTTCACTTCTTCACAGACCTAGCAGTATTTTATCTTTTCAGACCGAGCATTCCTAAACATCCAAAATTCAAGAGTCAGGATTGTCTTTCACTGCTGAACTTCACCATAAACCTGTACAGATTTCATAAGCTCGATAATCTTCAATAAAGAATATGCAACCACCTCACCTATTAAATCATTCATGAGTTACAGTATTCCCATGGACTTGTATGTCTTGATCACTTTACGAATTTCCCACTGTATTTGCGATAACTGCCTCTGAAGTAGGTTATTTATCACCAGCAGAAGCCTGCCTCTAGTTATCATCAGCTGAAGCCCAAGACTATCATTGCATTTAGATCTAAAATAGCAACACTCAAACCTGCCTTTTAAAAGTCAGTTCAAATTATTTTAGTAGATACAGTCACATACTCACCATCCTGAATTACACATCACACTACAACAGGATATCTAAGACTTTTACATGTTTCAATTTTTGGTGAGATGTAAAGTTTCTCAAATTCTTCATCTCTAGAAGATAGCTTTAAAAATTGCCTCTCCATCAAACTCAAGAAGCATTCACTCCCCCTCCTGTGTGAATCTGTGGTTTGTGAAGGAAGTGTGACCTTTCAGCTGATGAAATGGATCAAGTCTTACTCTCTCCTCTTTGCTCCCCAGTGATGTTCCCAACCCTCCCTTTACATTGACACTTCTACAATCACAAGCTGAGCCACTTCAGGGAGCTGTTCTGACTTCAAACTAATTACTTTCTTTTGCTATATAGAGGAGAAAGACAAAACAATAGCAGTCTGGATTTAAAATGGTTTAAATTGCCATTTAACCACACCTCAACTCTGCCAGAGACCTAACAGCAGATGAATCAACAAGCACAGTCAAAATATTTCTTTATATATTTCTTGTGTTCTTCCTCATGAGACTGACATCAAACATATGAATATAAATTCCCATACGCTCTGGAACACAGGTTCACACTGAAGTTAATTCCTTCACTGACAGTTCTGCATCCTTTCCATTATACTCTGCCAGATACGGGCAGATTTGAGAATTCCTCTCTTTGAGTTTGCCGTATAAAAATCGGTATCAACATGCACCAGGCAATCTGCAGACAGTTTTTCTGCCAAGTCTGTATGTATACAGATTTGTATACTAGTTTAAATAGCATGGATGAGAGTCAAGGATCAATTTGCAAATTGAGCTACCAGGTCTTGGCAAGAACTGCAGCAGCAGCAGCTAATTTCTTTTAATTGAACAGGCCATATTAAGATATTGGAATGGCTCCATCACAGTCTTAAATCCAAGCTGTGTTTTGCAGAAGTGGCATTTAATCAAATATTAGTTGACTTTATTACAAAGTCTGTTTTGGTTTAGTTAGCAAATTAAATAATTGCATGCCATCCTAGTAAGACAATTCCCTTGAATTACAAGGCTGCAATAGAAAAGTTCAGACCTGATCTCCCCCTCCCAGTTACTACACAGTTACAATTAATATTCTGATAAACAAAGAATAGCTTAGTTTGAGCTTTTCCCTGATCACACTTTTTTCTAAAGAGCTGTTTGCCAAGTGGTAAGGAAACTGGTCTTGACATGAAATGTAACCCTGGAGCAAATACAAAGCTAATAAATTCTGCAAGAGGGAAGTGAAGGTGCTAGAACACTACCAGGTCATGCAAGTATGGACTGAGATCAACAAGACGGCTTAAGAAGGTGGCAAGAAGTAAAGGAAGTGGCAGTAGTATGGAAATCCAGTGACAAAACCAAGAGATGTTCTGAAGGGGCTTCTGGTCTGCCTCTGTAAGAAAGCAAGCCTGCAACAGACTTCCATCCGCTAGACCAGGATACACATCTTCAATGTAAAAAGATACAGGTTCCTTAAGTCAAAAGATACTTTAAATCACAATTACAGACATGAGTGAGAATAACAGGGACTACTGCCAGTCAGTTCTGCCTGTCCCCTACTAGTCTGTACACCAGGGTTTTGATCACTCTCCTACCATTTTACCCTAGGTGGATCCCTAGCTATGCACTTCTTTCATCGTATTATCAACTAAAATGCTCTTAAGCCCAGACCAGCAATGTTATTTTTCCAACCCAGCTAATGCTATTTTTAGTTCTCGGCTGTCTTCTGTGCTAGTCTGTACTTACTTGAGAAGCTTTTCAAAGGCATCCAGGAAGTCTTCACTTGTCATCAGGACACAAAAAATACTTCTCCTAATATCAGTGTTCATTCTCTGCTTACGAGCAAGCTCCATTATCTTTGAACTCACCTGAAAACAAATAATTAAATCAAGCGTAAATAAAATAGCATTTAAGAAAGCTATTTTTGTGCAGCCTCAAGTTAAGACCATGAATGAAGATCTCCAGTAAACTGTAAAGCAGCAATCCAAAGGTCCCAAGCTTTTGACCAGAGGCATTGTCATCATCATGAGCTTTTTCAACCAGGGAAATACATTTTAATGTATTTTAATTGTGCCAATTATTTTAAAGACGTGCTTCTCTAATGTTAAGTCACCATGACCATCTCACCACGCTACTTTTAGAATCAGCTTAGATACATGCCACCGACGGACAGATAACACTACCTGTCAGAATTCATACTAGCAAATCCACTTTTAAATCAAATCTCTTCTTCCACTTACGTAAGTTACTTTTGCAATTCCACAGGCTAAGAAAAAAACAGCTATACCATATTTATAGTAACACCTCTTACAAAGTGCATGAGTACAACATTTTGAAAAATGTAAAAGCAGAATTTACAGTCCAAAAACTTAGTCTTACAAAAGTCTGAAGTTTTTTCTGGTGGGCTCTGAAATGAACTTATTCACCTGTATAAAAAAATATTCAAAAGATCACAAACACTTAGACTTATAACTAGCACTGCTTGGACTTACCTTTCCTACATGCAGTTTTTGCTGGGTCTTGCTGTTTGTATCATCGATCATTGGTGCTCCACTCCATGATGACCCTACGATCCACCAGCGACCAACCTGATCAGCACTGAGGAGAGATTCCAGGGAGACACGGAGCTGAGTTTCTTTTCCAGAACCACCACTGTGAACCTTGAATAACAAAATACAAAAAACACAAAAGCTTTTATTTGTACCTTAATTACTTAAAATGATTTTTAAACAAATACTTTAAACAAATAACTTAATCTCCATAAAGGTCTTCACATGTTTCTCCCCTCACCTTTAGTTTTAGTCAGCAACCCGAAAAGAATTTACAAGTTTCCCATATACTCTAATTTCTCAAATACAAGAAGTTGCTAGTTGCTTAAATCTACATTTAGAAGCTTGATTTTTTTTTTAATTTAAAAAAAAAGAGATAATCAATTAAAAAGTATCTATCTTCCAATCATAACACTTGGTTAGAATTCAGACGACGCTGACATTGAAAAGCAGTTGCAGCATCTTATAATCTGGTCATGATTTTCCTTTTGAATGCTTGTGATCAAACAAAATGACGTGACAAACTGCCTTAAGTTTTATACAATTCAAACAACAAAAAGTTTAAAGTCTTTGAACAAAATAAGAATTTTCAACAAAAGGGTCTAGAAGCGTACCAGGAGGACTGCGAAAATTTAAGATAGGACATTCTACAGAACAAGGTTACCCAGCTTGTTTTTGCCTGGCCTATTATCACTGATGTGCACATCCTACACTTACAAATTTCTGAAAAATAAGATGTTCTAGGTGTTGTAGACAAGTAATGTAGTTTTCATGTTGGAGACACGTGGACTCTAAAACCAGATTCAAGTCCTGTGAAAATGAGTTAGTTTTCAATCCAAAGAGATAATTACTTTCATGCATTTTATACTGAGTTGTTCTAGACAAACTGCCCTCTCTCCATAAAAAAAAAAGAAAGAAAAAACATTCAGGTTTTCAGAAGTGTTAGACTTCCAAAATAATTCTGGTGAAGTTAGAAGCAGGTGCCTGCATCCAAAATCTATGGAAAAAAGAACTTGTCATAATGACTCATTTCTTCTGCACAGTCATTAAACATCCCACAATCTCTTTTTCAAGTATAGGACTTTGAGGCAAAGTCTTTGGCTAAGCATTACGTCCTTTCTTAAACTGTTCTTCAGAAGGCTGGTTGACTGCTGACTCAACTTGGACACAGGAGATAATACTTCATGATCTAAGAAGTACTTTTTGTCCGCAAGAATTTCAGACTGTTAAATCAATTAAAAATACTATAGCCCATCAAGCTGATGTACAAGACTAACAATTACTTCTGGTTTAAGAATAACTATACTACATATGTCAAGAAAGTTCTTACCAGTGTTCTTTGCAATTTGCGGAGTTTTTCAACTGGTTCAGGATCATAACCAGGAATCTTACGCATATCGTTATTCCTTAGTGCCAACATAGTCTCTAGCATAAAACGAACCTACTGGGAAAAGAAGTATTTCTGTGGATTATGTGTTGTAAGTTTGTTTAATAAAGTAATGAATGCACTTTGAAATTACTATTCTGTGAGAATAAGTAGCTCAGCTGGCAACAGACATCAAAATTTAGACTACATGAATACAAATGCAGAGAAGGATGTTTACTCCTATTATATTAGTGTTCAAGCTTCAATTCAAAGCTTAATCTGCTAAACGCTATGCCTCAGTGATCATTTTTTTGAAGTGTACAAAATATCACAAAATAGAAGCACTGTCCATTGCGTAAGATGCAAAACAGTCTTAGTCTCACCCCTGACAAGCATTTTGGTGTCTGTGTCCTAAGAACTAATGGAGAAAGACAGACAAGGTGAATGCAAATACCTGCATGCAACAACTCAACATTAATGGTAACTTAGAACCTAAACAGAGTGTAGCAGAAAACATTTCGGTAAATTAACACATGTATCCAAGTGCTTATTAAAGTCTATTCAGAACAGAGAATCTTTAAAAAACACCCACATACCCTAGTCTGATCCTGGAGCTTCTTCTCTGCTGTGTTTGCTTTCCTCTGGGCTTCAGTGATCAGTTCCTTCAAAGCCAACGCATCATCTTTTCTTAAGGAAAAGCCCACATTTTTCAGAAGAAACAAAATCAACTCAATCTCTTTTTCAGTGAAAGTGCTAACAAGCTTTTTCAGAATATCAAAGATCAGTAGGGAATGAACCACATGGAAGTTATACAGATGTGCAATCAAGGCAAGCAGATTTTCACATTCTTTCCCCTCAGCATCACTTCTACAGAGTTCATCAAATTTCTTCACCACGGCTTCCAAAAAGTGAGCACCGACCTGGCAATAGTTCCATTAGGGGGTGGGGAAACAAAAAAAATCCAGCAGTTAACTTTAAGTAGATTTTACAGACATCTTTAAAACACTCATTTCTGGGGTGCTGCCACTATTAATTTTAAAGAAATATTGTTGCTTCTCCCAACCAATATGGATGTTCTACATTTACATATATAAATATCTAAGTGGAGTGACATTTTCTTAAAGTATATGTTATTTACACCTCATATATGACATCCACTTGCCTTTTAAAGTCTGCGCAAGAAAAGTAAATGTTAGGAACTTACAGTACACATACATCAGAACTTGTTTACGTAATTTTCATGGACACATACTAGCATCTTCCCAGCTGTGAGGCTAGAATGCTGTTACTGCTAGTCATCCATCCTGTAAAAGCTGCATGTCAAAAACCAAATGCATCACAGAGTTCAACATTCCAGAACAAAATCCTTAACAGGAGGGTAAAAAAATAATCTTGTAAAACAACTCCCAACATACCAAGTTTTCACAGCCGCTGAGCATGAGCTCAGGCTGATTTTGAAGTGGGGATAAGTCTTAGCCATTTGTCAGTGCTACAGTTGGGAAAAGAAATTTTGGAATCTCTGTATTTGTGAAAAAAGAACTGATGTTAAAGACTGGAATTAGAAAGCATAGCAAAATATACGTAGGTAATGAACACATCACTACTAAAGAAGACCGCCCCCCCATTATTATAGTGCTAATATTTGCTGATTGTTCTTATGAAAATCAGAAGTCCCAGTAGTAGTACTGACTTGCATCACAAGCCTTCACCAGCTTAGGTTTTAACTATCCAATCATCATATTGCACAAATGTATAAACAGAGTTATTGGAATCCCAACTTCTGCATTGCTGGAACTAATCTTAAATGCAGCTGTGCTATCACACTTTCGCATAATACATATTCTACATTTATTTTACAGAAAAAATAATGGGACTTTATAGTATACTTAAATACTACACTCAGATTCAAAGATGCTGCGTAACAGTCAGTAGTACAGCAGACAGTCTGGATATCACCTATCTATTTCTAATACCTATTAATATATCTGTATCTAAAACCTATTCCTAGGTATTTTGAAAAGTTTCAACTTCTAAAAAGATTGTGTTTCTTTTCTTAGAATAGCATTGTAATATCACATTATATTTTCAACCAAAACTGCCTTTCAAGCAACAAAGAGGAACAAAAAGAAAGTTTAACAGCAAGGCTGCATGAAGAAACCTGCTGTAATTGCACCATCTGATATTTAATATGGTTTCGGAGACAGCATTCAGGTCACTACATGAGAAACTAAAGAACTTGCATCAATACATTTTTTGCATTGAGATGTAGAAAGAAAACGTGAGTTGATGGGAACACGGTGCTGAAACACCTGTTTCCCGAGAGACATTTCACTGAAATTAGCTAAAATCTTTCCTTTGACATCAGTAGTTTCAGCTGCTTCTTAACAGTAAGCAAGAGATACTTTATCTCAATCTTTCATCAGGCTTAAAAACACAAAAGAAAACCTCCCAAAAATTTGCCATGCTTTTTGAAGTTTTTGATATTCTGGAGTCATCGATATACCTAGTTAATTCCATTGATGATTTACATGATTGGGCCTAAAAAAGGACTGCAGGGCTTTCTTAGCTGGATATACATCGTTCCAAGAACAATACCCTCTTATACCCAAGAGAACAGAAATGGAGTAGTGTATTTAAGGAGGAGAAAACGTGAAGCTTAAAAAAAATGTTTTATGGATGCAGAAAGATTTTGATGGAAAAACTGATGTTTTTATAACCGGCCAGTGGTAACTCATGGAGGAAATAAATTAATCAAAGCAACAGACTTGGTCCCTTTCACTTGTGGCTATCTAGCAAATAAGCTACAAATACCGATGAAATTAAACTAGACACACTTTTTAGTGACACACAATCAAAAATTAAAAGGCAATTCAAACAAAATACCAAGAAAAACACTCTACAATATGTATTATTAAACAAAATTAATCCCAACCACAAGAATTACCTCAATTCCTACATTATGATGAAGAATGCTGACCAAAAGGACATGCTCCATCATCAATCTTGCAGGCATGGCAACTGCAGTAACACATGCATTCATGAGAATGTCTGTCAGAGTTTCATTCATGTCCTTTCTGCTGTTGGCCATGTAGAGCTCTTCCATTTGTCCACTAATGGAGGACAAATTTGGTTCACTCAACCTATACAGAAACAAAATTCAATGTTCACTTTTTCTTCTCTTTACATAGTTCCACAATTTTCAATTTACCCAACCACAACTTGTTCTTTTTAGAGAAACTAGCTTGGCTTAAGAAGAAAGACTGAAGAGATGACTGGAAGGGACCTTTTGTATTTTGCTGTGTTCAGTAAACTAAAAAAAAATATAACACAAATTCAATTCTGTGTTTTTTTTGAAAATATTTACATGTAAAAACAGATTAGCAGCAGTATTTACAAAACACTGAACAGATTTCTTAAGGAAAGAGACTTTGTTCTTAGCAGTTGTCACTATGGCACATCACGGTCTTTGGAGAAATTAAATATGAAAATACCTTGTACTTTTCTAACATATCAAATTCTAAATGACTGAACAAACTGCATACTGTAGTCTGCATTTCACAGATAACATAGATAAAATGCCAATACATTTCTTATTTTAAAAACATTCTAAAATTAAAACGCATTAAAGTGTTGCTTGCTTTTGCTGTTCTTCAGTACTTTAAGCTATGAAGTGTTGCGCCTCCTCAGTTGTAGTGTTGGAAAAATGTAATTTTATTTAATTAAAAAAAGAAAATAATGCTTTTTTGGGGGGAGTTATAACTCACACTATAAGATCTTTTTTACAGGCATACTCCAATTGACACTTACTGAATTATACCTAGCACTTGCAGGCAACTGCTATGTGGAATTCAGCCCAATCTTAAATTTATTTTCTAGATTTTTCAACTGCTATAATGACCAACTTTGAAGAATTTATATCAACAAAGATAATTATTATTAAGGATAGCAGACATGATTGCCAACTGAAAATCAGTTTGTGAAGAGAGAAGTCACATCCTTGCCACTTTTCTTTAAATGATGAGCACTGTCATGTGGAATTAGAAAGATTAATGACTTTTCTTATTACATTACCTATTAATGAGACCATTCACCATTTTCTTCAGTCTTCCCAATTCTTCTCTTTTCTTGTCATCTAACGACTCCTGAGCTTTCCTTACTTGAGGGGGAATATATTTCGTAGCACTGTGATTATGACTCTTACCACAAAAACAATAAAATAAGATACCAAATTAGATTAGTATCTTAAATATTTGAACACAGATATACATTTCTATTTAAGATTAACATTCCAAACTTCTAGTTAAGTATATATTTTACCAATAACTAATGCCAAAGGAACAACTTCATACAGAAAAGAAGCCTGCAACAAGTTATGGTTTATGACCAACTTGACAACAGCAAAACCCCTCTTCCTTTTATGCGACATTTTATTTATTGTTATTAAAACCTGACATCTTAGGTCTTGGTTTTATCAGCTGCAGACATACTAACAGTCTAAGTTAGTGTCATGCCAGCTAAATGCATTCGGCCTCGTCTCCACTCCTGCTACAAGACCTAACACAGGTAGAACCTCTGAGATCATCCAGAAGTAACATTTCACTTTGCAGCAGACACTAACTTTAACATAAGCTTGCTTTACTTTTAGCCAAAGTGCTTAATCATGTTCTTAAAACTCTGAAGCCAAGGTAGTTCTTTTTATTTGCTGATCTTGTGTATAGAGACAAGGCCACATGCCTTGCGCTTTAGGGTATTATCTGGCAGCATCCTGACTTGGGGGAACTCTACCGTCCAGGCCTAACAGCTGTCCCTAGGACTTGGGAGGCCTCTGAAGTCAACACTGCTGCTGGGCCCGGCGCTGTTTTGACCCACGACAACACTCGGCACGGCCTGACTAGACAGCAAACACCGATGCTTTACAGAGGTGACGTAAACCCTGCTTTACGTTCAGGTTGTGGCATGTACTTTGCGAAGCAGATTCGTGTTACCGGAGGCGAACACCCTACCTCCTCCTCCTCCTCGCCCGGGGGCTCGCTGGCCTCAGGCACCCCGCCGTCCTCGGGGGGTGAGCTCTC